TTCCACAAACAGGACCCTCCACCTCTGGGATCTGGGCATTCCCTCTGTCCACCCCCACGCATGGAAGGCTCTCCCTCCTCATTTGGCTTAAAGTCTCAGCTAAAATCTCACCTTCTGCCAGAAGCCTCCTCAACCCCTCTTCATTCCGGAGCCTCCCTCTCTCAATTATTTCCTTTTGATCCTTGTTTGTACATATCTGCTTGCTGGTTGGGCTGTCTTTGGGTCCTTAGCACTTAGCGTATAGTAAATGTTTATTGACCATTTTGGTCTGGAAATTTATGGGGTTGGGGAATGAAGCCCCAGGGAAGTAGACTGTCCTACCCTTCCCAGGAATGATGGCCAGTGAGTTAATTTGGGCTGGGGCAAGAATGGAATAAAAGGAAGAGTGGGCCCTGAGAGGCTTTCGTCCAGCAGGGTCCAGGGCACGGTAGCAGGAGCTCCGGAGCCGAAGGAGGCTAAGGGGGCCTGGGCCACCATGGAAATGGCCAGTTCGTCCTTCTCAGAGGTTTTCAGTCCATCGCTAGACTGGGACTCCTTGGGGATGTCCTGGAGCGAATTCTTCTCAGGTACAGGTTGCCCTACATGGCCTCTGCAGCCCCTGGCCAGGTGAGATTCCAGGATTCTCTCCTTGGTGTCTTATGCTGTACTTGTGTGATTTAGAAAGGGCCTTGGGCAGCTCCGGGCCCTGTAAATACCCACTTCAGGTAAAGGGAGGTGGCAGAGGGGGGACTTCTGTGCACTGGCTTCCATCCCACCCCATGGCCCCATCCTTGACTGAGCCCTCTGAGGCCGTCTGGCAATCCCCTGGGAGGCGGCCTTGACTCGCTGAAGGCTGTGCTAGCTGGAAGGCAAGTTCCAGGGCCAGGCCTAGTGACAGACTGTGCGTCTGCTGTCCAAGGCCCGGCCTGGGGCAGATCACAGTCTTGCAGCGGGCGGTCCACAGTGGGCATGGACTGTTTGGGTCCTGGCAAGCCCCGAAAGCCAACTCCGCCTGGTTTTGGAGAGGTCTGATTAGTGACCTTGCAGGGACAGAGGGTCCCAGCCTGCTGAAATCTGAGGGCCTGAAATATTCCTACAGCTCACCCTGATAAAGTCTGGGGGCCTTGCAGTATTCTCAACAATAGCATTTCAGTCAATTCAATTCCATAGTATTTTGATGAAGTGTCTACAGCTTATGAGAACTTGGAGAAGGATGAGCAGGGCTCTGCCTTCAGGGAGCAGCCACACCTGTAACCAAGGCAGGATGAGCCAGGTGGGTTAGGGAGGGGCGGAGAGTCCAGGGAGAGAGCCAGAGCCCTTCAGACTGGGCCCATCAGGCAAGGCTTGGGGTAAGACTGGGCCAGGAAGGAAGGGAGAGGAGGCTGGTGGCAGCCTCGGGGAGGGGCTCTCTGGGGACCAGGACCACCCTCCAGGTAGAGGAGAGCAGGGAAAGGCCGTGGGGTGTGATGGAGGAAGGTGGGTCTGAGCTCGAGTCTCTGCCACTTAGTACATATGTAATCTCACTGGGTCCCATTTTGTTCCTCTATAAAATGAATTGTTGTTCAGTCGTGTCTGACTCTTTGTGACCCCTTTTGAGACTGTTTTCTGGGCAAATTTACTGGAGTACTTTATCATTTCTTTCTCCAGCTCGTTTTACAGACAAGGAAACTGCTGAGGCAGATAGGGTTAAGTGACTTGCCCAGGGTCACAAAGCTAGTGAACATCTGAGGTGGATTTGAACTCAGGTCTTCTGACTCCAGGCCCAGTGCTCCATCCACTGTGCTGCTCTTATAAAATGAATGTATAGGACTAAATCATCTCTGGGGTACCTTCTAGCTGTGACCTTGTGCCCTTCCAACTCTTCTGGGCTGTAATATTTCTCCTAGCTGACATCCCATGCTCTCTGTTCTAAGGCCCTTCCATCCTTATTCTTCTATGTTCGGACATTACTCTCAGCTGACATCCCACATTCT